ATAACTCTCTAGTCTGCTATAATCAAGACTGTTTTTATTTTCTCTTGCATGACACTGATATTTTTGAGAAAAGTAAGCCATTTGTTTGCAGAATGTCTCTCATTTGGATTTGATTGCTTGCTCATGAGTAGATTCAGGTTAAGCATCTTTAACAAGAATACTACATAGGTGGTTTTGTATCATTCTCAGTGCATCATATCAGGAGATGGATGATGTCATTTTGTCCTGCTACTAGTGATATTAAATTTGATCATTAGGTAAAGGTCGAGTTCACCAAATTTCTCTTCTGTAGTATTATCTTCTCCCTTTATAATTCATAATTAATCTCTGAGGTCATATGTTGAGACCATGCAACTATCCTGCTCCTCAACAATCTTAAACCCAATGGTTTTAGCATCCATTGAAGATTGATTCCTGAATCAATTCCTAAACTTTTGGTTGCAAAATGATGATTTTCCAATTTTATCACTCCTCCTATATTTATTAGATGGCATTTTTCTATAAAAAAAGATTTTCCTTCACTCCCTGCTACCTTGGCCCTTTGAAAATTAGCTAGTATTATTATAGTTCATGGATTCATTCCTTTTCCATGTATTATAAATCATTTCCATCATTATTTATTTTTGAGGCTTTAATTATCCTAAATTTAGCCAATGGAGCCTCTTCAAACAAGATTTTATGTCCTCTTGAAATACTCCTATCAACTTTTGAGAACTTTTACTCTCTGACATAACAAAATGCATCAGACCCACCTTGTTTCCCTGGACACAGACCCAGAGCCAGCCATTTCCAAGGAGCTCTGGCTCCTTTTAAAGAATGGTACTTATAAAAGTCAAGATCTAGGTGCTAAGTATGCTCACTGCTACTGAAGTACCATTTATCAGTGGACAGAGCTAGGAAATATGTATCTTAAAAATCATTAACTCATATTGATAACTTCAATTCAAATTTAACACTTACAGTGTTCTTCTTTTCCTCTCATTCCACATTTACAACTTGCTTCTTCCACAGTTGGAAATGAATGTAGTACCATCAATATCAATATATGTACTTATTTGTTCACTCATAAAATGTTTGAGAAACAGTTTCAGACTTACTACAACCATACTACCACCACTAACTAAATGTATTAAAGGTCAAGATTTCCTTTTGTCCTTGGAATATATCCCACTGGGAATATAGTCAGAGTATGATCAATTTGATCAATTTGATATGCAATTATATATTTTCTCATATTTGCATTCAATTTTAGAGTTTTTGCAGTTCTTTGTTGAATTAATATTTCTTGAATATGAAAATAATAACATGGTTCAAGTCAAATCTATATAAAAATACTTAATAAAGTTTCATTCTTTTTCCTATTTTTTCTAATCTGTTTCCACATATCTTCTGTAGGTAACAAATTTAATCATTCTCTGGTTTATCCTTCCTGTGTTTATTTTACAAAAATAAGTAGATACATCTCTATAAACACAAACATACACATTTTTATTTCCCCTTCTTTCTTTTCCCAGATATATACAACATATTTCTGCTTAAACTATATCACATAGAGTATTTTTTATTCTTTTTATATTTGTGTATTATTTAATTCTGTGGATACACTTTTGTCGATTAGCCTAATCACGAATTATTGGACATACAGGTAACTTTCCAATAATTTGTTGCTATAAATAATGTCATAATGAGTAAGTAATGCATTTTGTATGAGTGTGTTACTAAAGGCGTACCTTTAGGGTAAATTTCTAGAACTGATTTCTAGGTCAAATGGTGTGCAGTTTTGTAATATATTGCCAAATTTTCCTCCATAGGAGTTATACAATTTAACATTTCTAGCATCAGTATAAAAAAGTACCTATTTCCCCACAGTCTGAGCAACAACAAAGTGTGTGGTCAAACTTTTAAAATTTCCCCAATCTAATCAGAAATGCAGCTTTAATTCAAGGTAGTTTTAATCACATTTATAGTAGTATGGATGAAGTTGTACATCTTTTCAAGAATTTAAAGGCCATTTTCTCATATCTTATGCTGCTAGGTCTTTGTCTCCTTATTTTTTTCCCTTTTTTTTAAGGACTTGCTATTTCTTGATTTCTTATAGTTCTTTATATTTTTCGGAAGTTAGCTCTTAGGATAAATGTTATACAAATACTTTCTCCCAGTTTGTAATTTATATTTTAATTGTATTTTTGGCTCTTTGTTTTCTATGCAAAAATTGCTTCTTTATGTTTTATATTTACTGGTCTAATAAAAGAAATTGCATCAGGATTTTGAGACTCAAGTAGAAAGCTTTGCCTTTATCCAGATTATAAGGAAATGTATCCATGTTTTCTTCTACTCCATGTACGGTTTCTTTAAAAAAAGAGAGATTTAGACTTCTGATACTTTTGGAGTTCACTTTTGTGTAATCTATGAAATATAAATTTGATATTACTCTTCCAAATGACTATGCAGATGGCCAGGTGCATTTATTAATAAGCCTATATTTTCTACAGTGACTAAGGTGTCATCTTTATCCTATTGCATTTGGGTTTATTTCAGAACTTTCTATTCTGTTCTACTGTTCTTTCCGTCCATTAATATGCCAATACATAACTGTTTTGATTATAGAAAGTTTATAATATGTTTCAGTATCTGATAAGTAAGCACTGCTCTGTCACTCTATGCTCTTCTCCAAGATTTCATCATTATTCTTGCATGTTTACTTTTCCATGTGAATTTTTCCATATTAACTTCTGTAGCTACAAATTTAAATTATGTGAATTTTTATTGAAATTGCATTAGGCTCATATATTAACTTAAAGAAAAATGACATGCATATGATATTGAACCCCAAAACAAGGAATGTTTTTGCTTTTGCAAATCTACATTTGTGTCTTTCGTGTTTTTTCCTAAGCCTTTTTTATATTTTGTTGCAGTTTAAAAGGGATTCTTTCCTATTATATCCTTTTTACTGGCTATTGTTTGTGCAGTTGAAAGCTATTGGTTTTTCTATCTTAATTTTTATATCCTATTACTTAATAGAATGTTTAGTATATGAGTTTTTTTTAATAACTTATTCCCTTGCATTTTCAGATCACTGTCAAATCATTTGCAAACAGGTGTAGTTTTCCTTCTTCTTTTCCATTTTGATCTATATTCACATACAATGTTAAATAATAGTGGGGAAATAGGCATCTATGCCTTGTTCTTGATCTCAGTATGATTGCTTCTATCATGTGTGTGCATGTGTGCGTTCTTATTCCATTAAATATTATCAGATAAATGGGTATCCACTGTGTCAAGCCCTTCCAAGTAACTATGATTTTTCTCCCTAGAATTAATATGAAGAAATTGTCTTCATTGATATGAAGATATACGTTAATAGATTTGCAAATATTAAGACATCCTTACGTTTTAAGAATAAATCTCACTTGGTCATAATGTATTATTTTCCTATATAACTGTTCAATTCCGTTTGCTAATATTTTATTTAGCATATTTACATCAATGTTCACAAGGAATATTTGGGGTTTTTTTTTGTCTTGTTTTGTTTTCTGCTACCATCAGATTCAGGAACTAATGTTATATTTGTCTCATGAAGTAATCTGAAAGTTTCTGTTCACTTCTGAAGCTCGAGAAAAATTTATATAGCATTAGGATCATCTAGATGTTAACCATTTCATACAATGCCCCATTGGAAACACCTAGATGGGGTACTTTTTGTTGGGGGAATTTTTGTTTTTTTGATCTTTCACTATTCTCCTGTGAAACTAGTCTATTTCACCTCTTTCTGCAATGGAATTATTTTTACTTAATTGAACATTCCTAGGAAACTTCATCTCTTACCTAAGTTTACAATGTATCTGTATAGAGTTACACAAAGTATTCTGCTATGACTTTTATTATTTCTGTTTCTCTAGCTATTTTTTCTTGTAGTTACTTATTTTGTATATATGTGATTTATTGCTTTCTTTCTTTATTAGGTTACATGTCTATTTTTATTAACTTTTTAAAAAATAACTTTTTGTTTTGTTTTGTTTTTTTACCACAATAGCAAATAATCAAACTATAATATGGACTAAGGAACTGAATAGACATTTATCCAAAAAAGACATACAAATGACCAATAGGTACATGACAAGTTACTCAACATTACAAAAGATGTAAGGTACAGGATGACCAAAATTAGCACAGCTGTAGGATGTATATCAAAGTTGTTAAGGCAGTAAATTCTACAAATATTCATCGCAAGAAGAAAAACTTTTTTCTGGTAATCATTTCATAATGTATGTAAGTCATATCACTATGCTGCAAACTCTGATATCATTAAACAAGAAAAATATTTAAAAGGTAAAAACTAAAAGTGCAAAATTATCAAAGAGGACAAACTACTACTGTTTTACCTTTAGAATTATTTTATTAAATCTTAAAGGTATAACAGTTTCTTAACTCTAAACATGAACTAATTTTCTTTAGAAGAATGATGTTATGTCTCATTACACCATGATTCTAGCTAACAGTTTTACAAAATTTTGAGAAAAATCTTGAAAAAGGATTCAAATATCATCCAAAACTTTGAAATTTAACATTATCAAAGGGGATGCTTCCACATTCTTACAGAGACCACTGGAGAGACAACAATTCAAAAGCTAAGAAACGGTCTCAAAAGCATTTTTTCATACAATCTTTCCTCCACAGAAAGGTATTGTTCTTACATAATCGAGTCTACTCACAAAATGGCTCTCTGTACCTGCTCGGGTGTCTTCTGCCATATCACTGCATATTTATGCATGACTGAGGTAAGAGTTTCCTGAACACTGTTATTTCGATAACCTAAAGCTCTTCTGTTACCTCTGGGCTCTCAGTGTCTCCTATTTATACAGTCAAGCCCACGGCAAATAGCAGCTCAGTATCGGCTGGTCTCTGCATAACGCCCACGTCTTCCACCGCCTCCTGGACCATAGTTTCCTCCACCGTATGATCCTCCCACGTTCCTGCTGTACCACTCAGTTTTCCACCCTTCAGTAAATCGTACTTAGAAGCTTTCTGCTTATAATTTCCCAAATCATTGTAATTATGACTTCCATAATTTCTTCATCCACAGCTGTCAAAACCACCTCTGGAGGCCCCATCCAGGTCGCCATATCGAGATCCTCTACCACCGTATCCTCCTCGTCCTCCTCCATAACCAGGGCTAACCCCCAAACTGCCACCTCCAGATCCTCCTCCACACCCATGATAGCCATCCCCAAATGTATGTCCTCTTCCATATCCATCAGCTCCTCCTCCAAGTTTCCTTCGTCATCCTGGTCCTGCTCCAACATTTCCACCACCACCGGGAGAGTCTCCAAAACCGACATTGCCTCCTCTTCCACCTCTAGAACTTTGGACTCCCTGCATTTTAGGTCGAGACAAGGCCTTTCTTACTTCTGCATGATGACAATTGATGCTACGGCCTTTCTGCAACACAAGCTTATCCGTGGGATCATGGTCATTAAAAGTAACAAATCCAAAGCCTCTTTTCTTTCCAGACTCCCTATCGGTAATTATCTCAATGGCACTGATTTTTCCATATTTCTCAAAGTAATCTCTAAGATGATGCTCTTCAGTATCTTCTTCAATTCCACCAACAAACAGCTTCTTCATGGTGACAAGAGCGCCCAGCTTTCCATAGTCCTCTCTTGGGACAGCACGTTTGGGTGCAACCATTTTCCCATCAATGGAATGAGGTCTGGCAGCCATGGCAACATCCACCTCAGCCATGGATGAAAATGTGACAAAACCAAACCTTCCTGGTTTTGGGCTGGCAGGATGCCTTATTAACACACAGTCTATAAGGTTTCCCCGTTGCTTGTAGTAGTTCCTCAGACTTTCTTCCATGGATTCAGAGCTTAAGCCACCAATAAAGAGTTTACAGAATTTTCCTTTTCTTTCTTATTCCTCTCCAAAGGAACAGATGTTGAAGTTTTCTTCATTGCAGGCTTACTCGCTTGAGCCATTTTCCCGAAGCTGAGGGGGATGAGGGAGATCTCCAAAGACTAACATGAACCGGAGGGTCCCGACCCCGCGGTGAGAACTGAACCTCCGCCGCTCCAGCAACAACACCTGTAGGAGCACCTCCACCGGGGATCTGGTGATGCTGCTACTGCTCTGGAGCCGCTGCCGCCCTTGAACCAATCTTGAGCAACTTTCAGTTTTTCTGCAAAACGTCATTTTTAACCGAGTGACCTTTCCTGATCCAGTAATCAAACTTATTACATTTCCTCTACATTGATTTTTTTCTGAACTTTTAATTTTCTCTGCATTGTTATCTATTTTTTTAAATACATTTATTTATTTATTTTTGGCTATGTTGGGTCTTCGTTTCCGTGCGTGGGCTTTCTCCAGTTGTAGCGAGCGGGGGCCACTCTTCATCGCTGTGCGTGGGCCTCTCCCATTGCGGAGCACAGGCTCCAGATGCGCAGGCTCAGTAGTTGTGGCTCACGGGCCCAGCTGCTCCGCGGCATGTGGGATCCTCCCGGACCAGGGCACGAGCCCGTGTCCCCTGCACTGGCAGGTGGATTCTTATCCACTGCACCACCAGGGAAGCCCCTGTTATCTATTTTTGATACAGTTTTCCTCACTAAATTGGATATTCAATGAAGAGATCACTAATGTGGACTTTAAAATTTTATACCAAAATACTTACCTATTGCTTTGCCCTTACCATGAGTTCAGGTATCTTTTTTGAAAGAAACTATTCAGACTACAAAAAGGATTTTTCTTTTTTGTTGTTTTGTTTTTGTTTTTGTTTTTATACAGCAAGTTCTTATTAGTCATCAATTTTATACACATCAGTGTATACATGTCAAGCCCAATCACCCAATTCAACACACCACCATCGCCACCCCCACCAACCCCCGCGGTTTTCCCCACTTGGTGACCTTACGTTTGTTCTCTACATCTGGATCTCAACTTCTGCCCTGCAAACCGGCTCATCTTTAACTTTTTAAAAAATAACTTTTTGGATTTAATATTATTTTAAACATTTTATTATTTCTGCCTCATTAATTTTTCTTTTTATTTTAATAAGTCTTTCCTTAATTTTTATTTTTTAAGATTTTGTACACTTTTGGAGTTTTGAGTTGGGAAATTAAGAAACTTATTTTTAATTATACATTTCAACTGATATAGATATTTAAGGTTCCTCTGAAAAACGCTGTAAGAAATAGATTCTGATATGTAAGGATTACATTATTTTATTAAAATTTGCATTTATGGTTTTTGTCTAGAAATGTTGAAAAAAGTGGTTTTCTTTTTATTTTTTTATAATTTGCAATGGGAAGAGCATTTTTCCCCAGCATTTTATTATACATTATTGAATGTACAGAAGAGTTGAAAGGATTATACAGTACACATCCATTTATCCAGCACTGAGATTTTATTATTCTCAACATTTTGCTAGATAAGCTTTACCACATACCTGTTCATTTATCTATTCATCCAAAACTTTAATTTATCAATTGATCTGTTTATCAATTTATCTATTCATCTATAAGTTCATCTCACTTTTTGAAGTGTTTCAAGTAAGTTTCAGACATTAGGATACATCAGCATTAAACAGTTTAACATTTATATCATTAACTAGAATTCAGTATTTGTTTAGAGTTATTATTGCTTTATTTTAGGTAATTTAACCTATAGTGAAATATACAAGCCATTAATGAGCTTTGATGAACGTTTAGATCTGTTATCCAAACACCTGTCAAGCTATAAGGCATTTCTGTCACCCCAGAAAATTCCCTCATACCTCTTTACAGTCAGTTTCTATTTCCAACACTTCAGAGAAAAACTCTGTGTTTATTTTTTTTTTTACCATATATTAATTTTTGACTTATAGAACTTTACTTTTAAAACACTGCTTTTATTTTTTCACCATATATTAATTTCTGCCCATTACAGAACTTTACTTAAATGGGCTAATTAATACAGTACGTACTCTAATGTGTAAAGCTTCTTTCACTGAACATGATTTTTAAGGTTCATCAAAATCCTTGGCTGCATCAGTATTTGGTTTTAAATGGTGACCAGGTCTCCCATTGTATGAATATACCACAGTTTATCTATTCGCCTGATTATACATATTTGGATTATTTCCAAATTTTGGCTATTATGAAAAGAAGCTTTGAACATTTTTGTGGACATGTTTTTACTTCTTTTGGACAAATATCCATGAGTGCAATTGTTGGGTCGTAGGGTAGCTATGTACCTCATTTTATAAGAAATTTCCATGACACAGAAGATTTTATAAAATAAAATAGAGACAAACTAGATGTTATCAACATTTTAAATGTTTGTTTTCAAATGTCACCATGAAGAAAACAAACAGGCAAGCCACAATCTAAGAAAAAAATATTTTCAAAATATCTGAGAACAGGTTTCCAAGAGATATATCTATCTAATATGTCTATATGTATCTAACATATCTATGTACATAAATAGATATATCTATACATGTATATCGATATATTTGTGTATATAGATACCTATATAACTAATGTGTCTAATATCTAATATATATTACAGCTTTACACATATGTGGTAGATATATTAAAACAATAAAAATACACACAATGCAATAAAGATGGCAAATATTTGAACAGGCCTTTCAAAATAGAACTATGTGAATGAAAACTAAGTATGTGAAGAAATGTTCAAATCATTAGTCATCAGCAAAATGGAAATTAAAATCCTAATTATGGGGACTTCTGATTTCTAGTTCTGCATGTAAGGGAACTTGGAAGTCATCACTCCATCCTAACAAGTAAAAAGTTGAACATGATTCTTCTTGGATCCATGAAATAGGGGAGGACACAGGGCAAACCACTGCTCCCAAGATTAGAGAAACAGATAGCTGAATACAAGGAGTTGTTGATTACCAGATTACTGCAGCAGAGACCTACAAGGAGAAACTGCCCCTGGACGCAGTGCTGGGATAGAAAAAGCTGAACTATAATTGATAAATTGCTGGAGATAGAGTGAGGGCAACTCTGAGAGTTAAAAACATCAAGAGGAAACCAGTCATGGGGGGCTCCCACAATATTGTGAGATGTACCTCCAGGTAAGGAGTCTGACCAAATTCTGACAGTATTAAATATCAGAGAAAACACCCTTCTGCTTCTGACAGGCGAAAAAAATCATTTTGAAATATGCCAGAGCACTCAGTTCTTCCTACCAGGCCTGCCCTCAGGGGAAAATTGTTTAGTGAACCTAATACTAGCTAAAAAGATGTGTATTAAGACACATATAAGAAACTTGGAAGTTGTTACTCTCCCCTAACAACAAATGAAAAGCTGAAGAAACTGAAAAATCAACAACTCTCCTTGAATTCTCACGAGAGGGGAGGACACAGGACAAACTGCTGTTCCTAAGACTGGAGAGATAGATAAATACAGGGAGGCATGGCTTACTAGAGAATCACTAGCTGCAACCCCACAGGAGCCAGTGCCACAGTAGGAAAGCCTTGGCTGTAATCGATGAATCACTGGAGTTTCAGAGCAGACAGCTCTGAGAGTTAAAAACTTCAAGGGATCTAGTCTTGGGGGACTCACAATATTGTAAGATTTACTTCCAGGAGCTTGACTAGGTTCCTACAGTAAATATCAGAGAAAAATCCTCTCCTGCTTCCTGCAGGGGGAAGGGAAAAGGAACCATTTTGAAATACTCCAGAGCACACTGTTCTTCTTAACAAGGGCTGCCCTCAGAAGAAACTAGTTAAACTGGGCCTAACATACTGGGGAAGGGAAATACTCAACTCCAGCCCATTCTAGCCAACCTCTCCTACCTAAGGAGGGAGAAAAAAAAAAACCCTGAGGAACACCTGTTAAGTTCACAGGCTAGAGGCATAGGCTCCCTAAAAGACTGATATCCAATCAAAGGACTATAAAATGCCTTCCCTCCCCACAAACCTCACCATCATATTACTAGTGGCCTGTTTACAGGCAGCTCCTCTTACTCCTCTTACCTCTTGTCTGGCTATCAAGAAAAAAAATCACAAGACATACCAAAATGCAAAAAAAAAAATATATATATATATATATATATATATATATATATATATATATATATATATATATATAAAAAAGAGAGAGATATATATATTTATAGAAAAGATAGAGTAAGCATCAGAACCAGACATGGCAGGGGGGTTCAAAATATCAGACTAGGATTTTAAAACAACTATGATTAATATGCTAAGGGCTCTAATGGGTAGAGTGGGCAGCATGCAAAAACAGATGGGTCATGTAAGCAGAGAGATGGAAATTCTAATAAAGAATCAAAAAGAAATAATAGAAATCAAAAATACTATAATAGAAATGAATACTACCTTTGATGGACTTATTAGTAGATGTGACACAGCTGAGGAAGGAAACTTTGAGCTAGAGGATGTATCACTAGAATCCTGGAAAACCAGAAGCAAAGAGAACAAGAAAGTTGAATCAATAATTAATAACCTCCTAAAACTGAAAGTAGCAGGCCCAGATGTGTTCACTGGTGAATTCTACTAAACACTTAAGGAAGCAATTATACCAAGTCTCTACAATCTCTCTCAGAGAGTAGAAGCAGAAAGATTACTTCCTAATTCATTCTATGATGCCATCACGACCCTAATACCAAAACCAGACAAAGATATAAGAAAACTGCAAACTAATGTCTTTCATGAGCACAGATGCAAAAATTCTCAACAAAATATTAGCAAATCAAATCCAATAATGTATAAAAAGATAATATACCATGACCAAGTGGGATTTATCCCATGTATGAAAGCCTGTTTCAACATTCAAAAATTAATTATTGTAATCCATCATATCAACAGGATAAAACAGAAAAATCACATGATCATATAAATAGATGCAGAAAACGCATTTGATAAAATCTAACAGCCATTCATAATAAAAATTCTCATTAAACTAAGAATAGAATATCCTCAACTTTATAAAGAATATCTACAAAAAAAATCTACAACATCATACTAGATGGTGAGGATCTCAAAGCTTTCCAACTAAGGTCAGGTACAAGGCAAGGATGTTCCCTTTCAGCACCCCTTTTCAACATCATACTGGAAGTTCTATCCAATTCAGTAAGAAAAGGAAAAGAATGGAAAGGAAAGGAAAGGAAAGGAAAGAAAAGAAAAGGCATAAAGATTGGAAAGGAAAAAATAAAATTACTTCTTT